GATCAACTTGTTTTTCTCCAGATACCAAAATAAATAGTTTTTCAAGATGATCCAATGTTTAATTTGACACTGTTACCATTAGTTATAAAACTAAGAAAAAAAGTCTAAGGAAGTTATCATCCAGAATTGTAGAAAAATGTTTAGGGTAGTGCAGTAAAGCTTGTCCTTAACATTTTTTCCCCGCATTACTTTTGCACTGTAAGTAGTTTTAGAAATGGTACTTTCACACTTTTACTTGAGTAAAAAGCTTAAGGTGATACTCTAACTTCTACAAAAGTGTTTTTGAACAGGATTTTAAATAGGATTTCTACTTCTACTTGAGTAATAAACATGCATAAGTTTGACACTTCTGGTTTTTGGTCTCTACACCATTAAATCCTAATAAAATGGTCACGAATATTTCACAAATGAAAGCATGAGAATTGAACTGAATTTGAAAATATAGATTATGCAAAATATCAAACTTTTTTGGGGTTTGTTCATATAGATGGGTTAGTTTGGGGATTGCAGAAGATAGATGGACAGCTACTGAAACCTGGCAGGATTTCCATCAGAGCACAGAAACTGATGCCCCCCCAATGCAGAGACTGTCGAAGTATATCATATGACAACAATTGTGTCAGGTCAGCTTCGTTTTTTACCCGACTGCTGGAGACAGAAGACTCAGAGTGCTCACCGTGTCCTGATGAATGAGGCCGTATTTGTGATGCATTAACGTCCAGGGATATCATTCGGGTGCGACTGCACTGTGTGGCTGCAGAAAGTATGCTCTTTCTTAGATGAAGCTAACACAACAAGCTAAACTTAATGAAAGCTATACTCAGCGCCTTGACTCTCTCCAGGATTTTATGATTCTGACCACTGTGTTCTTGAAGCCTCTGATCTTTACCCTCACAGTTCACATTGAGCTCTGCCAGAGCTTGCTGTCTTATTTTTCCTCCTACAAACTTTGTTGCTTTTAGGTTTCCTTGCTATTAGCCTCTTTTTATGCTTCATATCTCCATTTTGCTATTAGCTTCATGAGTGTGTCTCAACCTAGGCCTTCAAAAGTGTGATTATTGTGAAGCTAAAATGCTGAATTGAAAGAAATACAACTTAATTCTTCCAACAGAGGACTGAGCTGCGAGTCTCCAGGCAGAGATTAAACACTGACTTTCAGAATGTCAAATTAACGCCTCAATTCATGTTTAACCTAGTTTCATTTTGCAAGAAAATAAAGAGGCCTGTCCAGAGGGGCTGTTAAGACCCTCAAACAAGCTGCACCTGTGAAGATGGCTAATTGGGTTTAACATTTTTCATCACCTTTTAAGGTCTTGAGGCCAAAATCTCATTTCAGCAAGAGAAATCTGGGGAGGAAAGGTAATGAGGCAAAGCTTCACATTAAAGTCATCAACAAAAATACCAGAAGCGTATTTTCAGAACTGCTTAAAAACATATATAGTAGGAACAAAGAGGTAATCCACTGAATTCGACAGATTAGTTGGTCTGACCTCACAGAGAAAAGTAAATTAGTTTTTAAGACGTAAAGATAAACAATAAGCAATTCAAAAAATCCATTAAAGATCAAATTAAGCATTTAATTTACTGTACGAAGGATTTTAGATATTAATTCTTAATTTACTTCATTAAACTGTGCTTTATTACCTTGTCTCAACCCACAGCATTGAGGGTGATACAAACTGAAAACAAAACTGACAGCTGGTCCAGGGGTCCGTTTCACAAAGCAGGTTTATTCAAAATTTTTAAAACCTGTAACTCTGAGACCTCTGTTTTAGTCGCCATAGTAACGTTCTCCCCAGGACATTCCTCCGGTTAAGGTGCAGGTTTTGGTCAGTAAACTCAGTGTCCTCTATCCCAGCCCTCCTTACAGCTAATCACGTTGTTTTATTTCCTGATTTAGCCAGCAGATTTTTGTTAAAGATACAATAAAGAAAATAATTCACTAGGTCTGTTAGACACATTAGGTGTTACAAACAAACATGGCAAGTCCTTTTAAAGAAGATCTTATTAAAAATGATCTGCACTAATACACAGAGAAGTAAATATTTATAGGGAGAGGATCTACAACTTATTTGACCGGATATGAGATTCATTTGTTTTTGGTTTATTAAAAAGAGCGACATGTGGATAATTTTTATTTATGGATTTATTTTTACAGTACATGAGGAACTGCTGAAATTACTTTCAGATTATACATACATAGGTTAATTAATTCCGTGGGTAAAAAAAATAATACTTCAGGGTTAGGATTAGGATTCTGACCCTGATAACAACCTACTGAGCCTACTGGGAGGTAAGAGGCACAATCTGAAGTCATTCTATGTGACTGATAACAGCTAATAACAAGCATTTATTGGGGGATAATATCTGAAGCGACTGCAAACAGACAGTGTTTAGTGTGTAATGAGATGATGAACGGGTCCTATCTGTTTGAAAAACATCTTTAGACTTCATCTTCACCTAAACCCGTAATGTTATTGTGGTCACAGCAAGCTATGGCAGGCCATTTTAATAAATTTTAGTTTTACAGAATATGTATTCCTGATATCTGAAAAAAAAACAAAATTTTTTCCTTGTCAAAATGACAATTTGAAACAAAATTACACTTTTCTTATCTAGAATAAATATTCTGGATGTCCAGAAAATAATTTTAGATCTCCATATTCCCATTGTCAGCATTTGTATTATTTTGACTATGAAGACATGTTTTTCGGATATCATAAATACATATTCAGTCAAGCTGATAAATTTCTAAACAGCCAGTTAAAATTTGTAAAAAAAAATTCTCTCTATATAAAACCTAATTCTTATGAGTACAGTTTTGTTTCTGCTGCAAAAATTTAATTTTAAATCTGTTATTACAGTTCCAACTAGGAATGTGATTTTCACCAGGAAGAATCAGAGAGGAGAGTGCTTTTAATAAATGAAAAATAGCCTTCCATACAGGACTTCATATAAACTTCTGCATTAAGTTGACCAGCAATCTTCTCCTACTCCATCTTCCACTCCCTTTTAGCTGTAACACTGTTTCTCTGTCTTTTAAACACATTCTCCTTTTTTTTTATATTCGTGCATTGAAATCTCTACTTCCAGTAGAGTGAAATAGGCACTTCCTGTTGTTGTTGCCATGGTGACTTATTGATTCGGGGGTCCACTGATGATGGCTTTTGTTACGCCAAATGTTCATCTAATCATCTGCTGTGAGTTACTTTAATCAAACTAATTCACAGCAACTTTTATAAAACTGAAAACTCAGCGTTTCCAGCCTCAGGCTGTTTCAATTCAGAGTTTAGGATTTGAGTCTGAGTTTGTTTAACCGGCTTTGTAAAATGGAACCCTGCGCTCTGATCAATCTACTTATTGTTCCTGGTCATCTGGAGGGAAAGGCTAAAGCAATAGAATTTTTAGATGCTTATTTGATCCTTAAATGTGGAAGACGTCTAAATGTAGAGGTCATGACAGAAGTAATCCTTTCTGGACTGAACAAAGGAAATAAGGAAAGGAATTCCACAAACTTGACAATAAACATTCAATGTCTGAGCAGGGACACATACTTTAAAGAGGTTATCATCCTAGTTATTCAGACATGTGTAACATCTTTCAAGTTAACACAGAAAATCTCAAGACAGTAAGCAGTGCAACAGCGGTATTTTTTTTTAAAAAAAAGCTCAGAATATGGTTAATAACATCATACAACACACTGAGAAAATAAAAGGATTTTACAACAATGCACTAAAATACCAAGTCAAAGAATTTACATTACAGTACATAAAAAGGAAGGATTCCCCTAAAGATCAGTTTATTGGCTAACCTTTCAAACCGTGTAGAAGGAACCAAAGGATTTAGTGATATTCAGTCATTTCATGTCATACACAGCAGCTTTTCTGACACTTCCAAGCTCACTTTGTTTAGTTTGCATACAGCATGCAAGCTGCAAATATAAAGTGTGCTCTATATTCATCTCTGAGGCAGGCTGTGTCACAATAACACCCTTCATTCCATTTAGTGAAATTACGCCATTCCTCTTCATGGCGCAAAAGACCCAAAACAACACTGAGTGCAGGAAGTTGAAAGCAGGGATTTTTCAGGCTCTTCCTTCATATAAGCTCTCAAAAAGGCTTTCACTGTGGACAACTTTCTAAAACATAACTATTCTCTCCTCTCTGGTTACATCCTCCGTCAGGTCTGTATCTCTCTGCATATTAAGCGGGACCAAATACGGTCCAATTTCCTATGCCAGAATTACTGGTGCTGTTTCACATTTGTTGCAGGAGAAGCTTAGGCCATTTTCCTGATCTTCATACTGCTGGGAAGGAAGCAGTTTGGAGACTATACACAGACTGTACTTTTAATTCACACAAATTTATTGGTGTGCATTCAAACAGTTCAGTTTAAGCTGGAAGCCATACAGAAATCTCTTCTTAGACATCTACACAATGAGACCCGTACAGAGATGACAGAGGAGGGAACAGATGTAGAAGATGAAAAGAGAAAAGGGGGGAGAGACGGAGGGATTGGTAGAATGAGAGGGAGTGCGCTGACAGGACTGTGACGGGGCTTAATTACCAAGCAAGAACTGCACGCTGGAAGCAATTTCTAAGGATTCTTGTCATTTGAACGGATTAAAACGCCTTTCCTCTGGACTAAGCTGTCTCACTGCCAGCTTGTTTCTGTGGTGGATTATAAGTCAAGTTGAAGACAGAAGCATAACGGAGGAATGGAGGCAGAGGGCAGTGTCACAAAGGGCACCTAAGGCAACAGGCTCCAGCAAGAATAAAAACTGCCAAACCCTGTTTTTCCACAAGACAGGAAAGTGTGTGAACAGACAAGAAAATCCAAAAAGCTGAATACTCTCCCTCTTCCTCTGTTTTTATCCTGTCTGTTGCAGAGTGGATGTTTATAAATGCTGATATAAATCTATCATAAATTTTAAGATGAGCAATTGGTGCCTGTTTTAATGAACCCTTGTGTTTTCTCCTTGTTTCCCTCTATTCTGGTAGACATTGAGGGCTGTGAGCGCTCATGGAGAAAGTTCCACGGCCACTGCTACAGGTACTTCAGCCGCAGACACACCTGGGAGGATGCAGAGAAGGACTGCAGGGAGCACAGCGGTCACCTGGCCAGCATCCACAGTGCAGCAGAGCAGAACTTCATCAGAGGTTGGTGGATGTCAGTCTTCTCACTGAGAGTCTCTGGAGGCAAATTCACCAAGCAGCGCAGCATTTACATTTTATTACAAATGTTCCTTACTTGGTTAATTTCTGCACTAAATTCACAAAGAACTTGCACTTAATAAAGCAAATAGAAACATGTTGGATCAAGCAGCACCTAGTTTTTTTTTTTGCAGAGAACTGCTAAACAGAGGAGGCAGTCTTCAAACCCTGTTACTGCAGTGTTAATGCTTTAGTTGCTTTTTCATCCATAGCTGATATATAATAAATATTAATGATGAAATGAATAATTTAAAATATGATATTTCTGATTGAAATTAAAATTATGTCAGAGCTTCAAATAATATACACAGCTTTTCATTTCAGTTTAATTATTTTTTAAATTCTCAGAACATTTACTCAGTGATTTGTAGTAATTTTGTTTACAAATAGTATAAAACTAGCTAATATTTTAGTGTCGATGGTGATGTGGTACCTCAATCATATTTCTATAACTGTAAATCAAAAACTGAAAAAAAAATATTTGGTCACATAATGTGTTTACATAGGGTTAAAAAGGCATCCTGTTTGAAAATGATGTGGGTTTTTAATCTGCATTTATTAAACTTAATTTTTGTTGTGATGCCTGAGGATATAATTAGTGTAAAAAAAAAAGTTAATAAAACCGGTTATACTTATCTAGTCTTGTTTACTACACAAAAAAGAAAAACTGTTTTGATTTTTTTTTTTTTAGGAATACATCATCTCAAATCTAAATTTGAATTTAGTTTTTATAGGGATGTAAAAAAAAAAAGAAAGATTAAGTCACGTGGCTTAGTTAATAAGTCCTCAATAGAAGCCTAACTTTCTATGGAAGTTCTGATTAGCCAGTTTATCTCACTAGAGAGAGACAACTTAAAACTGAAAATTGCTTCAGTGGAAGATAAAGTTTTACACCCTTCCTTTACTGTATCCTGGCTAAAGAATGAGCCCCTTTGTTCATTTTCTCTGAAAGTTTTGAAACAAACGTTTTTGGTTGTTGTTATTGTTTATTGAACTTTGTCAGATTGTTCAAACCTTAAAAACCTATTATGTTTATTGTGAGACCTCACAAAACATTCAAACAATCAACCTGTAAATTGGTTTATTTTAAGTTTTATTTTAGGGTTTATTCCACCACGTATTGATACCCGGTTGCTGAGGATAAAATCCTTCTGTTCTGTTCCTGTAGAGGAAACGGTCCAGCTCTGCTGTTGCTACAGCAGCAGGAAACTTTAATGAATTCCTTCTCTCAGCAGCACTTCTTCGACTTAGGAAAAAAAACATCATCAAACATATTTTTCATCAAATCAATTTGTTTTTACGTAAGCATACAGGATGTCATTTTTAATACCTGTGTTTACTTCCTTCATTAGATCCAGGAGCATTTTTAAAAAGTTCTATTTTAGTTGGACTACGAAGCAATTCAGCTGCAGTTTCATGGGTCTGACAGGAAGAGAGACACAGTTACAAAGTAAAACACATCTGCTTTGGGGGAAAATCCAAAATTAAAATCTGTTAATCTCATGGGGAAAGAGTCTGTTTGGAGTGGAACATCACAAATATAGTAAGCAGGAACAACTGGTGCTAAAACAATGAATGAAACAAAAAACTAGAAACCGTTACCCATGATAAGAGTTTAGGAGGACAGAAACCAGATGTAGTGATCCTCTTTGTGCCTCACAAAAAGAAATAAAAATAACAAGGACCAGACAGAGCAGGTCAGCGCAGCGTATCTCTCTCACCTCGTTATCAAAAAAAGAAAGAAAAACTTGGATAAACTTCCCAGATCTCTCTCTGAGACACCTCTCTGCCTCAGTCAGCATAGAAACCATCCCACAGTGATTATTGCTGTGTTTTTCTTTCTTTACAAGTAGATCTGATTATGTTTTTTTATATATGAACATTCTCTATCTGTTCAGGTCTGATATGCTGCACAGACTCGTTCAATGGGGCTTTGCTTTATAGCTGCCAAAGTCAAATGTTGGAAATTGTTGTAATTTGTGTATAGCACAGAGACAGAAGTGAAAATATTCTGCACAGATCTGCTCACACTGCCGAGTCGAAGTCTCATATACACAGTCAGTGTGACATAAAAAAAAAAATCGGCTACATATGTAGCTGTTGCTTTCAGGCCTTAACTCACATCTAGGGATGAAGCTCAGTAGCAGCTTTCAGCTTTTTTAAATGTTACAACAGTTATTATGGAAAAAAAATTCACCTATAGTTTCATTAGAGCACAGGATCCGTCTCTTTTTCAGGCAGTAATCTAAATTCAATTTTTTCTCTATAAGTAGCCATTCAGCCCATGTCAGTACAAAGGCCATCTACTGTGGATAATGCTCTCTCATCCACTTCAGGTTTAATACATGTAAGGTAGTTTGCTTTTTTCTACTTTTGGGAAGTTTATTCACTAAAATAACTTATACAGAACCGGGCCCTTACTGACCCCTTTCCATCCTTTCTCCTTTGGAAAGAAGGGTAGTCTGCACTTAAGACAGAGAATTCATCTTCTTTCATAAGAGTAGATTGTCTGGATTGCCTGGATACTACCCTCTTGTTCCTAGTTCAACAAAGTTGCCTGAAAAGTTCATTATTGCACCAGAATATAATCTACTAGACATTCTCAGCAATGTTAGTATTTGTAGATATCATAAAAACACTATACTGTATGTTTTTATCTAATTTCCTCTGAGACTCTGTATAGAGTGTATGCAAGTATGTTTTCAACTGATTAACCAGCAACAGTGCTATGTTTACACCTACTTTTATTAAAGTAAATACATGCAATTCATTTTCTGTTTATCTTTGCATTTAAAAAATATTACTCTTATTTTTCTTTACATTGTAGCAGAAACTGTGCGCTACGATTGTCGAGCACAAACAGCAGTTCATTCCACTCATTGTTATGATGTAAACAGGCTTTGTTCTGTCTGTTTGTGTGTCATGTCTTCACCCTCCTCCAGCAATCCATTGCCACTTGAGTTGCAATAACTTCAGCGCAGCAGCAGCCTGATCCTGAATTTTTCAACTAGCTGTCTGTCTCAATGAGACAACAGTGCCATCCATCAAGTTTTGTTTTTTTTTGTTTACAAAAAAGTGCCATGTTGCTTTGAAAATGGGTGTCTCCACCCCTGCAATAAAGGGTTCAGAACCATTAGCAAGATTAATGGACCCAGTAATGATGTTAATCATCACCGTGATTGAAATTGTTAATACATACAGTATGTGCAGAGACTTGCATCCCCACATAGGCCAAATGAGTTTAAGCCAAAACACCATTAGGGAAATTTGCTTTCACTATGGCTAAACAGCCACCATTAGTGCTTCTCAGACACTGCTGGTTTCTGCTGTTGTCTCTTAAAAAGCAGCCAATAAGGAAAACCTTCAGTTTAACACATGGAAGGATCACTGAACTTAACCAAAACCTTAGACTCTTATCTTTGATAATATCCATAAGATAGTAAACTTGACTTTTTTCTTATCTAATTTATGAAACCTTGTTTTTTAAACAGACTTGAAGAACACAAACTAATGCATCATGTTAAGGAAATTTTGAGCTTGTAATAGTTAATGAATCTAAAAGTTTTGATCCTTAATTTCTGTTTTAACTCTTATACAGGTCTGAGCCATGATAACACCTGGATTGGACTGAACGATCGCACAGTGGAGGACGACTTTCAGTGGACAGATAAGACAGACCTGGTGATGAAGCAGCTGTTTCTGTTCTAACTGGTGGCTTTAAATGATAATTATGATTGATGTTATGAAACAAAAAGGCTTGTGAGGAAGATAACATTTGTAACAAAACAGGAACATGGTTTCTGTTAAGTACTTACCGCAACATAAACCCACTTAGGGCCGGATCTATCAAAGGTTTGCGTGTATAAAAACGTGAGCTATTTCACTGCGCACGCTAAAAAATGTACAAACTGATCTATCAACAGCGTGCTAAAAGGATTTGGTCTTTAAAACGTGCTAAATAGCGCCTCCTAAGTGCGTCTTGTGGGAGGAGAACATGTAATTTTATTAATTTAGCACTCGCAAAATGATTTATCAAACCTGAAAGCAATTTTGCTAACGGTATCTGACTCTATATTTAACACGTTTCAAAAGAAGGTGCAAATGGTCTGTATGCGTATTTGCGCACACATGGCAGCGGTTATTGTCGCAAGAAGGAGACATCGAAATGAAGCAAGGAGACGCAGAGAACGCATTTTTTCACTCCGTGTGAATATTTTTGGAATGAACGAGGAAACGATCATCAAAACATATCGTTTATCCAGCATTGCCTTTTTGGAGCTGTTGGGGGAACTCCGAATGGATTTGGAGCCAGCCACAGCGAGCGCAAATTACTGCACGCAAAATTGGATCTTGATAAATCCGGCCCTTAATATGTTAGATAAACCATCCAAATATATTTATCAGGTAACAGAGCTCTTTAAAGTAATCTCCTCTGCCTTTAACATACAGACCATTTGCAGTGGGATACATTTTTTAATTTAGTGAAGGCCTTTGTGGTTAGGGCATAGACCTTGAAATCCTAAGGTTCTGAGTTGAAGCCCCACCTCCAGAGACTGCCACACTGGGTCCCTGAGCGAGACCCTTAACCTCACACTGCTCCTTGGGCGCCCTACGATGGCAGCCCACTGCTCCCCAAGGGGATGGGTTAACTGCAGAGGTATATTCCTCCAATGTGACATCATTAAAGTTAAATTATTATAAATTATTTTTAATATATAGCATAAATAGTATATAGTAAAAGTAGAGTTGATTTCTTTAACATGAGTAATAAGCAGAAAGCTGAAGTTAATTTAAATATTCAGCCCATGTTAGTCTCGTTTCCCAACCCCTCATTTACATCCAGGTGGTGAGGAAAGACAATGAACAATGCTGCCAGTACTCAGGCTGAGGGGGGATAAGGGGGGATGGCATCCTTCTTCATAAGAAAAAATCTTAAAAATCATCCGCTTTCTCAAATGACCATCCACCCGTACCATACCCATACCCTGTGACTTTTTATTACTAAAAGTCTAAAGTTTCTACTATATATTAGAAGTAATGGCAATAATATTGCTCTTTGAACATTTGGCTCGCTGTGGGCTTCGAGTAGCCTGAGTAAAATAAATAAAATCAAAATGTCCTACCATGACTATGAAACTGATCACAGAGGGAAATGAGTCCCTAACTCTGTAGGGGCAGTGATAGCCATGCTACTGTAGTCCAGGGACTGACTGCAGTTCTACTGTAAGGTGCCTTGGTCAAGGCTTGACATATAGCAACCATACCATGCATATTGCTTAAGGTCAGAGGTCTTCAACAGGGGGTCCACGGAGGTACTGCATGGAGGTCGCGAAAGTTTTGGTTGATTAGACTTCTTTTTATATTCCTCCCTGCACTCTTTTCCACTAATTGAAATGTCTTTAAATACACCTTAACATGAATTCAACACACAGTAGTAAACAGTTAAATGGAGGCAGAAGATGTCCTTCAGTCATCAATGCACACATTCAGCGATACACAGGAGCTCTTTCAAGCTGAGTGCTGGGGGGGAGGGCATAAAATCAAATACAAACAGCATAGAAATAAAACAAGCCGGTCCCATCTACGTAGGCGTAATCTGAGAAAATGACAGACGAAGTGTGCTCCTGATGTCCAGTCTGCTCCGTAGATTTGTTTTGGTCGCTGTAACCGCAGAAAATCCCGCTTCACAAAGATAGGATGTTATAGATAGGATGAGTCTTGAACTGAATTAACCTGTGTCAAGAGGCACAGATGCACCGACTGATGTAATTGGGAGAGAATACCGCAATTTTTTATATTTTTCAAAATAAAACATCACTCAGATTCTGATCGTCAATAAATTATATATATGTATATATATATATTATGTATATATATATATATATATATATATATACATTCACAAACGGTTCATAAATCCACGGATCGGTTTGATTCACGGTTTCGTGTTCACGGTTTTCGGTTCGGTTCGATACATGTTGATTGTTACACCAAAATCCCATAAAAATTCATGAAATTAATGAAAAAATCCCTCAAAAAATAATGGATTGTAATTATTTTAAATGATCCGCGGAAACCCTGGATCATTTCCATATGTTTTGCTGCTTTGAATTTAATCATCTCGCGCATGCTCTCTACCATCTACAAGGGACTCAGAGGGTAGCGGACGGGAGCCACAGTGGGTAGGCTTTGCTTTGAGCAGCCGGTCCGGAGCGCAGTGGGGCAGAGCGGGGGTTGCTGACGGAGTATGAGGGCTTTCGGGGTTAGCATGACATGTTGCTGTTAGCATAAACAAAACGTGTTGCACAATGCTTGCACACTGTTGCAATTTTATCCACAACTTTCTTTCCGCCGTCATCGTAGGTCACTCTAAATGCAAAGTGGTTCCATACAGCAGACCTATAAAGTGCTGCTGGCGCGTCTCCTTGTCATGATCGGTTCTCTACTGGAGACCCAAAGATGCAGAACACCACTGACGGACACAGGATGAAAAGTTTAACAAGTTTATTTGCACAATCACACTGAATATGCAGAAGACTGGTTCGGGCCTGGATTCTGGTTTCACCGGAGTCTGCGTGAGGGACAGCACAGTTAAGGACTGTTGACGGGGTTAGTTTTCCAATGGTGCACAGATAGTACCTTGAGGGTTCTTGAGGTTCTCTTTGGGAGAGTCACTGTTGGTCCTGGAGAAGGATTTAGTAGCAGAGTCCGTTAGCTGCTTCAGCGTCTCACGTCTAGCTTGAGCAGACCTTGGACTTGGTTTCCCAGCTCTAGCCCAGAGCTGCTTGGAGGTTGACTGAGAATCTTCAGGGTTTGGCTCTGAGGGTCGGCTCGGCAGGTTAGCTCTTCCAGAGCTTACAAGGAGGAAGCACGAGTTTCCTAGAGGCACAGAAACAGAGGTTAGAATCCAACTAGGAATTAGCGTCAAGGAAAATCACTGAGATCAAGGCTTTAGCGCTGACCAACTGGAACAACACTGCGGCGTTGAGGCAAGGTCTGAAGACAACTTATGTAGTGGATCCTCTGATGATCTTGATGAGCTGCACCTGTGCAGGAGGCTCCCTCAGAGGATCAACGGCGGACTCTGCTGGAGAAAGATGGGATTTTCTCCAGCTCCCTACAGTACCCCTCCCTCAACGACCGCCCCTTGGCGGTCCGGAGGAAGTGGAAGGACAGGAACGCTCGTACTCCTCGATGAGAGCAGGGTCGAGGATGTACGAGCCTGGGACCCACTGACGATCCTCCGGTCCGTAGCCCTCCCAGTCGACGAGGTACTGCCATCCGCGACCTCGTCGACGGGAGTCTACTATGCGGCGGACCGTGAAGGCCGGATGGCCATCGACTTCCAGGGCGGGTGGTGGGGAGTCGGATGGCGGGCACAGAGGGCTCGAGGAAACAGGCTTGATCTGGGAGACTTGGAGGAAGTTGGAGACGGACAGCTGATGGGTTGATAACACGTGAAATCTTGAATGGGCTTATGAATCTCGGGGAAAGTTTTCGAGACATCCCCTTGAGGGGGATGTCTCGAGTGGAAAGCCACACTTCCTGGCCCACAGAATACTCAGGGGCGGGGCGTCTCTTGGCGTCAGCGAAACGCTTGACTGACTCAGATGACTGGTTAAGTGTGGCGATGGTCTCCCTCCAAATCCTCCGACAGCGACGGATGTGTTGGTTCACCGACAGCACCGATATCTCTCTCTCATCTGCGGGGAAAAGAGGTGGTTGATATCCGAGACTGACCTGGAATGGAGACTGTCCAGTGGATGCGTAACGGAGAGAGTTGTGGGCATATTCTATCCATGGAAGGTATTGGCTCCAATCCACCGGGTTATTTGATGTTAGACAGCGGAGGGTGGATTCCAGATGCTGGTTCATACGCGCGGTCTGGCCATTCGTTTGAGGATGGTAACCTGAGGTGAGAGATGGTTTGCAGCCGAGAGCAGAACAAAAAGCCTTCCATACCTGGGATATGAATTGGGGACCTCTGTCCGATAGAATCTCCTGGGGGATGCCATGAAGCCGGAAAACATGTTTAATTAGAAGCTGGGCTGTCTGGAAGGCCGTGGGAAGTTTTCTCAGGGGAACTAGATGGCAAGACTTAGAGAAACGGTCGACAATGGTTAGTATGGCGGACATACCTCGGGAGACAGGGAGACCGGTGACGAAATCAATGGCTATGTGGGACCATGGACGCGAGGGAACAGGTAGTGGTTGAAGGAGACCAGAAGGAGGTTGATGTGAGGCCTTGTTACGAGCACATGTGGGACAGGCCAACACATACTCTTTAACGTCTCGATGGAGCGTAGGCCACCAGAAGCGCCTGGAGATTAGAGCGACAGTCCTACTCACTCCTGGATGAGCGGAGAATTTTGCGGCATGCATCCACTGGATCAGACGGGACCTGACAGAAGAAGGGACATATGTGCGGTTAGACGGACCGGTACCTGGATCTGGTTCGGTGGCTAGGGCTGAGTTGATTAGGTCCGTTATTTCCCAGTTGACCACTCCTACGGTGCATGAGGCTGGGAGAACAGGTTCAGGTGTCTCAGGATGATCGACGGAGTAGAGACGAGAGAGAGAATCGGGCTTCACGTTCTTGGATCCGGGTCTGTAGGTGATAATAAGATTAAATCGGGAGAAAAAGATGGACCACCTGGATTGGCGAGGGTTAGCCTGTTTGGCTGACTGGATGTGAGCCAGATTTTTGTGGTCAGTCCACACAAGGACCGGATGCTCAGCTCCCTCCAGCCAATGCCTCCATTCTTCCAACGCCAGTTTGATTGCCAGGAGCTCACGATCACCCACATCATAGTTTTGTTCAGCTGAGGAGAGCTTACGGGAAAAAAAGGCACAAGGGTGTATTCTTTGATCTGAATCGAGTTTCTGAGAAAGAACAGCTCCAACACCGGAATCTGAAGCGTCTACCTCAAGGATGAATTGTTTTGAAGGATCAGGTTGAATTAGTACAGGTGCTCTGGAAAACATGGATTTTAATTTCTCGAATGCAGCTTGGGCCTCGGGGTTCCACTGAAAAGTTCGTTTGGAAGACGTCAGTGAGGTTAATGGAAGGGCGGTTTGGCTATAGTTCCTTATGAACCAACGATAGAAGTTAGCAAAACCTAAAAACCTCTGTAGTTGCTTTCGATTCTCTGGAACTGGCCAATCTAGGACTGCCTTGATCTTGTCCTCAGAAGGTTTTACCTGGCCGCCCTCGAGCACAAACCCCAGAAAGGTGACTGAAGACTGATGAAATTCGCATTTCTCGGCTTTCACGAACAGCTTATTCTCCAGTAGTCTCTGTAGAACGAGACGGACATGTCTCTTGTGTTCATGGAGATCCTTGGAATAAATGAGAATGTCATCAATGTAAACAAACACAAACACGTTGAGGAAATCTCTGAGAACATCATTAACAAGGGCTTGGAAACAGGCTGGGGCGTTAGTCAGACCAAAAGGCATCACCAGGTATTCAAATTGGCCCAAGGGTGTCTTAAAGGCAGTCTTCCATTCATCACCCTCTCGTATTCTGAGGAGGTGATAAGCGTTTCTTAAATCCAGCTTGGTAAAGACAGTTGCACCCTGCACTGGTTCAAAGGCTGAGGCGAGAAGAGGCAGTGGGTATTTGTTTTTAATTGTAATTTGGTTCAAACCTCGATAGTCAATGCATGGCCTCAGGGAACCATCCTTCTTGCCCACGAAGAAGAAACCGGCGCCCAGGGGAGAGGATGAAGGACGGATTATTCCAGCAGCCAATGATTCGTTGATGTATTTCTCCATAGTCTCTCTTTCTGGTTTGGAAATGTTATACAATCTGCTGCTTGGAAGAGGAGCACCAGGTAAAAGTTCTATGGCACAATCGTATGGTCTATGTGGAGGTAGGGACGTCGCACTGACCTTACTGAAGACGGGGGCTAAGTCGTGGTACTCAGAGGGAACTGAAGAAAGGTCAGGAGAGTCCATCTCCCCCCCACCTCTAGGAGGCCCCAACATCGGGGCAGCAGAACGAAGGCATGTTTCGTGGCACGTAGTAGACCATGATTCCAGGAGACGTTTGGTCCAATTTATGTGAGGGTTATGCTTCTCCAACCACTCGAATCCGAGGACCAGGGGGGAACATGCAGAGGGAAACACAAAAAAGGTGATAGTTTCTCGGTGGTTACCTGACAAAAGTAGCTCGAGGGGCTGGGTTTGGTGGGTAACACGATGAAGTCTCTTTCCGTCTATGGCGGACACACTGAGAGGCTGAGACAGGGGAACGGTTTTAATCTGGAGCTGCTGGACGAGGTCTGAGTCGATTAGATTACGCTCACAGCCTGAGTCGATGAAGGCGGAGAAGGAGAGACTCTGGTTATTACAGAAAAGGGTGGCTGGCAGCAACAGTCGAGGAGATTTAATTGTGTTTATTTGGCCCGCCAGACTCCTCAGATCCTCTGGCGGACCCCGACCTCTTAATCTTGCCGGACAGGAGGCGATGAAGTGTCCACTCTCACCACAGTAGATACATAGTCTACTTAGAAGACGCCTCTGTCTCTCCTCCGGAGTGAGCCTGGTGTGTCCCACCTGCATAGATTCGAAATCCTTTTCGCCCGAATGAGAGGCCTGAACAGGCAATGGAAGAGACTGGGGCTTAGACTTCAGAGTGGGCATCTGCTCTGTAGAGGGAGAACAAACAGTCACGTTATGTGAGGCAGAAGAAAAATTACTCTGCTTCTTAGAACTGTTTCTGGCTCGAATTCTATTATCTAGTCTGATGGAGAGGCGAATTAAATCTTCGAGGGAGGCAGGTTCGTCGAGGGTGGGCGAGTTTATCTTTGATCTGATCATTTAATGCCATGAAAAAGGCTCCTTTCAGGGAGCTTTGGTTCCATCCGGAAGCTGCCGCCTTAACCCGGAAGTTAATTGAGAATTCAGCCACCGAAGAATCTCCCTGTTTTAAGTTAAAAAGAGCTCTGGAATCAATTGCTTGGTCGGTTTCTTGATTGAATACCTGGTTAAATTCAGAGATGAAGTCGGAGAAAATGCAGTTTAAGCTATCGTCGGAGGCAAATCTGGCCTGAGCCCATTCCAAGGCTCTTCCTGTTAACTGAGAGAGAACAAAAGTTATCTTCTTGTGGTCCGTGGGGAAACTATCAGGGGAGTTCATGAAAATCAGACGACACAGAAATAAAAATCCTTTGCACTTCTTCATATCTCCAGAGAATTTTTCTGGTAGGCTAGGGCGGAACTCAGATGACGTCACAGCTGGTGACCTCGGAGGGGGAACTGGACCCGGAAATGGTTGTGGAGAAGGGGTAGCGTTAGCATTATTCAAACGACTGGAGAAATTACGGATAAGATAATCTTGGGATTCGATGCGTGAATTTAACTCACTCAGAGTTTGAACTTGTCTGTGGATCTGGGCATCCCGCTCCTCCAGGAGTTGACGGAGATGTTCTGCTGGGCCTTGAGTTTGGCCGCAGTGTTCTGTCATGATCGGTTCTCTAATGGAGACCCAAAGATGCAGAACACCACTGACGGACACAGGATGAAAAGTTTAACAAGTTTATTTGCACAATCACACTGAATATGCAGAAGACTGGTTCGGGCCTGGATTCTGGTTTCACCGGAGTCTGCGTGAGGGACAGCACAGTTAAGGACTGTTGACGGGGTTAGTTTTCCAATGGTGCACAGATAGTACCTTGAGGGTTCTTGAGGTTCTCTTTGGGAGAGTCACTGTTGGTCCTGGAGAAGGATTTAGTAGCAGAGTCCGTTAGCTGCTTCAGCGTCTCACGTCTAGCTTGAGCAGACCTTGGCCTTGGTTTCCCAGCTCAAGCCCAGAGCTGCTTGGAGGTTGACTGAGAATCTTCAGGGTTTGGCTCTGAGTTTCGGCTCGGCAGGTTAGCTCTTCCAAAGCTTACACGGAGGAAGCACGAGTTTCCTAGAGGCACAGAAACAGAGGTTAGAATCCAACTAGGAATTAGCGTCAAGGAAAATCACTGAGATCAAGGCTTTAGCGCTGACCAACTGGAACAACACTGCGGCGTTGAGGCAAGGTCTGAAGACAGCTTATGTAGTGGATCCTCTGATGATCTTGATGAGCTGCACCTGTGCAGGAGGCTCCCTCAGAGGATCCACGGCGGACTCTGCTGGAGAAAGATGGGATTTTCTCCAGCTCCCAACACTCCTGTTCTTTCCCACTCGCCATTCCGACACAATTCTCCACAACAACTGATTTTTTTCCCTGCTACACCCGGCTAAGCTGCTTCGCTTCTTCTTCTTGTTTGCTACTGGTGGTTGGCTTTGGTCGCAGTACCGCCACCTTCTGCTCTGTAGTCTAAATGCTTCGCCTATGAGAAAAAGGAGCAGCGCATGAACCGAACGAAACACACGCAAATCGAACCGAGACAGTCGAATTGAACGGTTCGGACGGTTTTCATAAATCGTCCCATCCCTAATATACATATATACTTTTTTCTGTACCACATGACCCACTGACCGGTACCGGTCCGCGACCCGGTGGTTGGGGACCGCTGTCGTAAAGCACCTGTCCCATCAACCAGGAATCAGAATCAGAAATACTTTAATAATCTCAGGGCGAAATTACTTTCGTTACATTACTCCATATGCAATAGAGTGACTATAGGACCCGTTTGATATAACACAATTTCATACAATATATATAATTAGGGGGTCCCCACTCCATCTCGCCATCAGTTTGGGGGTCCTAATCCTGGAAAACTTTGAAGACCTCTGCTTTAGGTTAATAGAATATATTAATTAGGCTATATGCCTGTGGAAAAAAAAAAATATATATATATATATCCACCATCATCCATCACCACCCTTCACCCTTTTTTTACAGCTAGACTACTGAATACTGGTAGCTCGATTATAAGATTAGATGAGATTCAGGTGATATTTTTTGGAAATCCAAACATTAAAATTTATTTGTTTTCAAAGAAAAATAAAACATAGTTTAATAGTTCCCAAAATGTAGCTTTAAATCAAAGACGACCAAATTTCAGACTGTAGTTCCTAAAAACCTTTAATTTAGCTCAGTAGGAAGCTAAAGCAGGCGCTAGCAATGAAAAGCGTGTCAGGTAGCAGGTTGTATTTTTGACTGCTTATAACTTGTACTCAGAATGGGCAACTAAGCAACTTTAAGCGACTTTAATGTTAGCAAATATATTAGCAGCAAAAGCTATTAAAGCAGGTTTTATTAGCACACTTTGACCACACACCAGGAGATATGGTCACATGTTGCAGCATCTAGAGAGCACTTTAAGAAATGGACACCACTGTAAGAAGAAATCTATAAGCATTTTAATATATCCTCTTTTTATCCCACTACTAACTTAAACTGTTTGCTTAGAGCCATCCAATAAAAGCATTTTATTCAGTTGTTGCCATTCTTAACTTTCTGCATTTCTGTAGCAATATGAAAACTGGCGGGAAAACCAGCCTGACAACTTCTTCGCTGGAGGAGAGGATTGTGTGGTAATGATCGCTCATGAAAGCGGCAAATGGAACGACGTGCCCTGCAACTACAATCTGCCCTACGTCTGCAAAAAAGGAACAGGTGAGCGCAGAGGCCTGCAGCAGGAAGTGTATTGCAGGATGTAAAATAGATTAATCACATTTAAAGAGCGAGGCTGAGGAATCATCTGTGTATGACAGATGCAGAATGAGAGCAAATAGAAACAACCTGATTCCTGTGTTCTGCTTGATTCAGTAATAAAAGTGCATTAACAATGGATTAAAAAAATCTTGAGCAGAAGTTCGTGAAACTTTTTTAATGCAAATCATTTCAGAAGTGTTCCAACCCTCTGCTGTGAAACCTCAGGGAGTGATAAAAACCCAAACCTTAAGGTGATTATAAACACCCCGACTGTGTCATACTTTACATTACACATGTCTCCCATATGGAGGATGAGATTACCTCTGAGCCTCTTCAATCACCACATATTCAGCTCCTCAGACTCTCACTAACGGAGCTCCCATCATCCTCTTTCCTTCACTTTAGGTGGTTTTCAAAATGCTGCTTATTTCACAGCCCTGGTTCTGAGTCAAATCATCTTTTTCAGCCTTTCAAATTCATCTTCGGGCAAACGAATAATTCCTTTCTTATACCTGTGAAACTCGAAGTCATCCTAGACAATAGAAGAAAACATAATGTTTGGTTAAACCTCCGTAGCTATATTCCTTTTGTCCTCTGTGTTTTTTAGTGCCAGACCACTAAATGCTCCTTTGGGAGCCTATTAGAGCTGATTTTCACCACCTATTTGGATACAGGTCACATTTATGACCAGAGGCAAAAATACTGACACAATAAAAGCTTTTTGTAACGTAACAAACACATTTTATTGGACAAGTGAAAACTCTGGGGAGAGCAAAGCTTGAAATCTTAGCCCAGTTTTGAGCAGTTTTTGGGCTGTATAACTTTTTTAATTATGTCAGGGGGAAACCAATTTAAGGCCGACCTCTGTGACAAACTATTACTAAAGCTGTTTCACAGTTACAGAAAAAAATAAAGTTCCTCTGAAGACTTTTCCTGAAATTAAACTTATTTCATGCCATAAGGCATAAGCCGTCTTTTTTTTTCCAAGCAGAGCGTTCCTCATCTCAATACTGTCAACAAGGAGTATAAGTGATAAAAAATTGGGTGTAAGTGAAGCAGTAAGTGAGGTTTAGATAAAACATGGGAAACCAGGGGCTCTGAAGAGGTTTCAGACTAATATTAAGCCGTGGCTCTGTTGGACTGTGAAAGAGGAACACAAACATGGTTTAGCGATGGACATAATAAGGCTTATATATCCCCTTATGATTGAAAAATAGTTTTACTGTATTTTCTCTTGTTTTCTAAATGAGACAGATGTGTTTTATCCATTTTCTAGTATATAAAATCTCTGAGTGCTCAGCCAATTCTGTTTTATTTTAAAGATCTATGTGATTGTATGTGAAAGAGGCAAAGATGATGTAATATTTAGTTTGACAACCCCCCCAAAAAAAGATATTTTATTTATTCATAAACATTCTAGAAGATAATCGAGGAAATGTCATAATGACATTATGAATAAATGTCATTATGACATTTTCTCGATTATCTTCTACAAATTGTTTTTTCACAAGTACTCGCTTTACATCACTCGTTATAAACTCTTGGTGGTAATGATCATCTTATTGATACAAACAAATACCTAACTTAATGTAATTAACACCACATGGTGACGTGGTAGGGCGGCCTACCAACCAATGAAGGTTTAGTGCCTTTTTGGCTATTCTTTAGGTTAAATACTAATAAAATGATAAATGTAATTTTATGGAAATAGAAATGCGAAAGTACAAACAGAAACCCAAATAGAGCGACAAGGAGTTAAAAAGTGTATACGCCAGAGAAAAGGCCCTGGATGCTGCCTTAAAGGGAAACATTGGGCCCTTGATCTTACGTTATTACATCATGTTCTACTTGACTATATGAGTTTTGTGTCATCTGGAGCTGTTCTGAAGATATTCAGAACAGGTTATATCCAAGTAATGTCTTCCTATGGGCAACGACTTGAAGGCACAAACTAAGCTGTTCATAATTTATAATTTATGGGAAGCCAGCATTCATAATGTGTAGGTGAATCACTTTTCCCCACACATCCGCGGTTTTATTTTTTTATATTTCTATGTTTTTAAAAAAGGCGGAGGGCGTATGACGTCATCTGGGCATGTTGGCTACCGTTCATTCTTCCTGTCCGCTGAACTGCTGCTAGTTTTACTCACATGCCTGGAAGATGTCTAGTGCTTCTATCACTGATGATCTCGCTCTCGAAATGGAATTGAACCATTCAGATTAGCTAGCTGAATTAGTTGCCTGTCACAACTCCAGTCCGGCTCGCAAATGACGTCATACATGCAGATGTGCCTAGTAGTTCCCATTGATTTTGCTTATAAAGCGGGGGAAATGGTGCTAGGCTTATCGCACCGTGGCGTCACTGCTGGAAGATGGCAGGAGCGAGATGTTACTATATTTGGGCAAAATGAATAATTTTACTGAATAACGCTGATTCATTAAATCACCACAAACATATTAGTTTTAGGTATAGATAATTATCTATTGATTATTCCTTGCTGACCACACTTTCCCTTTAAAGAAAAAGGAAAAGAAATTTTCTAGATAGTCATCATGGTAATAAAACCAAAATCCCTGCTTTGACACAGGTCTAGTATTAAAACCTTAAGAGGCGTTCCTGCTTTATTCCAGAATAAACACGTAGCTAATTCCCATTCAAGGAAGCCTGTAAAGCACACTGTCACACATCTCCAGCATCTAGGTCACCTCTGACCTCAATTTGTCACTTGAAATTACCAGTATCTTTTCATCTTGTAGCGACTCCCCACCATCAGCCCCTTTTTCTCTCCCAAGTAACCCCATGTACTGTCTTGTCCTATCATTGAAGTTTGTCAGCGTCACGCTGGGAGTTCCCTGCCGCATTTCTAATTACCCCCGCCCTGCTCAGGTGATCTTTGTCATCCCATCAGTGGAACCTGTCAGACATTGATCCACCTCTCTCACGCAGGGGGCCATGCTTTTTGTTCCTGTTTATCGAAAAGCGGTTGAAATGTTCGTCATGTGTGCAGCTGTTCACAAAATAATCCAGCTTGATGCTGCACAGATAGAGGCTCATTTAGAAAATGGAGGAAAAATATTTGCCTTTAGATTATATTCTCAATGATAACACTTAACATTAAGCCGTTGGATTTGATATGCAAGTATATATTAACATGTTTTAATAAATGTATTTTTGGTTTCCATTTTTATTTTTAAAAGAACACACCACTAATCAGCATTTTTAGGAAAATTGGAAAACTTGCCTTGCCAAAGAAGCACTCATAACATTTTAATTGGAAAAATCTGCCAGGTGTCTCAGCCTATTTGCAGTGTTGGGCACGTTACTAAAAGTAATTAGTTATAGTTACTAATTGCTTCTCCCAAAAAGTAACTGAGTTACTAACTGAGTTACTCCACAATAAAAGTAACTAGTTACTAGTAAAAGTAACTATTGCGTTACTTGTGCGTTTCTCGCCCCCGTTACCCTCACCACCCCACCCCCACCATCTCGCAGTGTGTTTCAAAAGCCAGTTGAATAAAGTGGACGACAAAGACAAGTACCTGCAGAGAGAGTAAATGACATCGGGGGGAAGGCTATCTGACGGGCCTATAAACCCCATCAGATAGCGTTTCCCTGCATAACATGGGGGGAACGGTATCTGATGGGCTTCTAAACCCTGTCAGATAGCGTTCCACTCTTCTTAACATGGGGGGAACACTATCTGATGTGGTGTAAACATCATCAGGCTGCATTACCTCCACTCATGGGTGTGAAGTTTTGGTGAGGATTTGGTGAGTGTATGAAATTAATACCTGGGGATGTCTAATTCTGTAATCCTGTGTGTTTGGGTTGTTATAGATACTGCAACATCTATCTATCAATCAATCAATCAATCTATCTATCTATCTATCTATCTATCTATTTATCTATCTATCTGTCTGTCTGTCTGTCTGTCTGTCCGCGCGTCCGCGGTGAATCGTGCCGCCTGCACTGTGCGGAGATGCAGGGGAAACCGTATCTGATGAGGAAACGCAGCTCGACGTAACACCGGTATTTCCATCTGGAAAACGCTGTTTTGCTGCTGGAGTCCTCCTCACTCTCCATCTTTTGTGTGTGCTGTACGTTAACACCCGTAACGATCTCATGAGTCATGACAAGGCGCAAACGCCGTTACTTTCAACGCCGTTACTCCCATCACTGCCTATTTGCTCTCAGCTCTTTCCGAAAAACATGAACAGAATCACTGTCAGCAGAGCATGCTTTATAGTATTATTCCACCTCTTTCAACTAATTACTATACGCAGAAGTTTAAAGGCTAAATTTGTATAGCCTCCTGTTCAAACACTGTGGGCATTTTTGGGAAATAAAAGGGCTAATAACAGTGCTTTTACCAGCTATTGCACCTGTTCTACGGTAGTGGGGTCAATGGTTATGAAGAAATGTCCAGAATTACTGAAATGTATTGTAATAAGAATTTCTTAGGTCCTCTTGTTTATATAATTGGCTGCAGAATGAGAACTGTAAAGGAAAGATGACCGGGATCTCAGCCAGAAACCATCTTCTCTATTTATATATTATCTAATTTATGATATATTTATGGGCCTGGAAGTTTAAAGAGGCAAAGTCAAATAACAAAAAGGCAATGACTGCAAGGAAAGCTTTAAGTCATGGGAAATGATTAACAGTAACTTCTCTTTGAAAGCATAAACGTCTAAACATTGTCATATGTTCACATGTTAAAACCAAAACTTCAGAAATAATTTCTATAGGAATTTAAGAGATAGATAAACAGAAGCAGCCCACAATGGTTTGGATTTTCAAAAACATTTCTAAGCAACATTAACATTATACAGGCTTGCATTCAGAGACCTCTACTCTGAAACATCTAAATCAAATCATGTCATAAATCACCACAAACGTATTAGTTTTAGGTATATGTCTCTGCTGGAGACCGGTGGTAGATCTCCAGATCCCAACAAAT